CCTTCTACTCCATTCTCCTCTTGGGATCTTGGGCACACATGCACACGCGCTTGGTGTGAGTTTAAGCCACCGGGTCTAGGACTTGCACAGCCTTTACGCTAACTGTTGGTCTCAGGCCCAGTGTGAGTTTTAAGTTATGGATCCAGGACTCAAACCACGGTCAACCACATGGGGGTCCAGTGACGTAAAACTATTATGCTATCTGCTGGTCCCCCTTGTGATTTTCTTAATAACATTTTTATTTCTCTAGCCTACTTTATTGTAATGAAGTATATAATATATATAATATACAAAATATGTATCAATTGATTATTTATATTAACAATAAAGGCTTCTGGTCAACAGTAGGCTATTAGTAGTTTTAAGCTTTGGGGGAGTCAAAAGCTATACGCAGACTTCTGATTACACAGGAGTTGGTGCCCCAACCCCTACATTGTTTAAAGTTCAACTGTATATACATTGCTTACATGTATCATATGTGTATATTTGATTTCTGGAATATGCTTCAAAATGACAGGTAGTAAGGCGGATTGGTGGAACTATAGATGAAACAGTAATCACCATAGTTAATAACTATTGAAGCTGGGTGATAGGTACATTAGAACTGGTTATACTATTACATCTACTTTTATATATGCTTCATTTTTCTAAAATAAACTTTTTTACTTCCTACATATCTTGGCTCAAAGACTTAGTAGAGTATACACTCTTCCGAATGAAGGGAAAATAAATTTTAGAAAGGGAAGTTATGAAATATATGAAATAGGAAAGTAGTGAAAGGAATTTTCTTATGACTGCTATGCACCAAATAATGAGAAGAGTCCAGAATAGAGCAGCATGGAGGCTCCAGGACAGATTTGTTAAAAAAGGTGAAATATCTGATCCATTTAAAACACCCTGATAACCTTAGATAACTGACAGAAAGTTGTGGCTGAATTACTGGTTGGTATGTGAAAGTAAGACTAGGGGACTTCAAAAAGTTCACTAAAAATGGAATGAAAGAGCTTATTTTGGTGCAAGAAAGTTTTGAAACCCATACTATTTTTGTAATATGCATTTTCCATTAACTATTACCTATATGACCTTGGGACGGTTTCTGAACTCTTGCCACCTAAATTTCTTCACATATAAAATGGAGTTATCACATACCTTATGGTACTAATATCAAGTACCATATGCCTGGGTAAAAAGTGGACCTTTAATATATATTAGCTCAGGGTCAGCAGGTGGTATGGTGGTTAAGGGCACTGGACTCCCACATGGCTGACCATGGTTCAAATTCTGGACATGGAGGCTTGCTTTCTCACTTTCCCCCTCTCTTTCTGTCTCTTTCTCTCTCTGTAAATATTAAATAATAATAATAAAGTTAAATGTTAAAAAACACTCATCAGCTCTTACATTTATTTATTTATTGTTAGAGGGCACATGCACTCACCAGGGACAGGGCGACAGGGAGGGAGGGAAAAAAGAAAGCACCTCCCAACCATGGGGAATGGTTAATCTTTTCTCTTCCATCTCTTCCTCTTTTCTCTTTTTAAAGAAATTTTTGCTATAGGGAGCATGCATTCACCGGAGAGACAGAGAGAGACAGAAGGTAAGAAATCACCCCTCGTGGCAATGCTATAATCCTTTCTCCTCCATTCTCCTCTCGGGATTTTAGGTACACATGCACACAAGCCTGGCATGAGTCTCAAGCCTGGCATGAGTCTCAAGCCTGGGAGCCCAGGACTTGAACCATAGTCAGCCATGTGGGAATCTAGCAATGTAACCATTATGCCATCTGCTGGTCCCTCATCCTCTTTTCAAGATTTTAGGCATGCATGCACATGTATCTGGCATGTTTTTCCAGTTGCCAGGTCTGGGAATCGAACTTTGAGATTGGCCATGCGGGATGCAGCTGTCTTAACCACCAGGCCATGGAACCAGACCCAGCTCTTACATTTAAAAACAAAGGGGGTTTAAGTAAATGAGGCTTCACAAAGCATGCGATAAATCTTAAAGTATACCCAGAAGAAAATTTAAAAGTTGTATATGAAGAAAGATGAGAAAAAGCAAATATATAAAGGAGAGAAAAAGCATGTCATGTATATAAAGAAATAAGGCACATACTCCTTGCCCTCACACATTCCCACACCAAGTTAATACTATGTAATGAATTACAGTTCTACTTTCTTAAAAATGTAAAGGTGAACAGAATGAAAGGGAAGAGAACAGTTAAGATTAAAAAACAGCAAAAGTGGTATTTACATGAAATTAATGACGAGAGGTAGAACAGATCTTATAGAATCTAATTTTAAAGAAACTGCTAAATAAAAAGAATAATTTAAGTAATTAAATATATTAACTAAATAAAGAGAAGTAATTTAGAAAAGATTTCCATGGAAAGGGTGGGAGCACTCGCCACTGACTTTTTTCCTCAGAAAAAACCTAGAAAAGGAAAACTCACTTAGAAGGGAAGTACTAGATACAAAGGATAACAGAACTGAAAGCCCAAACTAAATCCAGCAAGGCAGGAATTCGAATCCCAGTGAGCCACTTTAGATTTGGCTTCCTATACATAATGCCCAACTATTGTGCCATAGGGCTTGGCCCTGTAGTAGACTTTGGGTTTCTCAGATATCAGTATTAAAATTAACTTTCACCTTAGGCTTCTTGCATTTGCCTGTTCCATCTCCTTTTGTCTCTAGTTCTTCAAGTTACTCATTCCTTTTTGTTAGTCAGGACTCAGTTCAAACAGCACTTCCTCAGAAATGCTATCCTTGACAATCCAGCAGTATTCTTCCATTTTCCAATGCCCATGATCATTCAATTATATTACTTAGGCTTTTTTTTTAATAGCACTCATAACCAGATATGATTTGTTTGTTGTATGATTCATTCACAAAGAAAGTAAAGTAAGTGATTATACTATCCCAGAACTATTTAGAAAGAAAAGTCCCTAGAGGTGGAGAAATATACAAGAAAAAAGAATGGCAGGAATAAGAAAAGGAGGCAGAAATAGAATTGTGAAGCAGCTTTGACCTACTTAGAAGTAAAAAGAAAAAATATAGAATGAAATAAATTAGAACATTGTTACACTTAAGTCTGACCTTCATCAGATAAAGACATTATTTAAAAGGTAAACTGATGTGATTGGTACAATTATTTTTTTAAGACAAATTTTTGCTATAGGATGTGTGTGCTTGCCAGACAGAGACAGAAAGTGAGAAATCATCCCCCACAGGGATGGACACACTGCAATCCCTTCTCCTCCATTCTCCTCTCGGAATCTTGGGCAGGCACACACCCGTGCCTGGGGTGCATTTTAAGCCACTGGGTCCAGGACTTGAACTGTGGTCAACCACGTGGGAGACCAGTGACATAACCATTATGCCATCTGCTGGTTCCCATGACTGTTACAATTAATTAAAAATCAAGCCTATAAGAGTACACCCTTAAGTTCATAGATTACTTATTCAAGGTGATGGAAAGCTAAGAAAAGATCACTTTCAATGCTGGAACTGATTACAAATCAAAACCAATGTATCCCCAATAGAGAGAGAAATCACCTCTAACTCAAGATACAAGCACTAAACTCACCGATCTTCTAAAACTTTAATGGTTTCATGAAGGACTTTCTGTTGCTCTCTCAGCTGTTGATTTTTGGTGAAAAATTCTTCCAGTCTTTGTGCATCTCTAAAAGTCAAAAGTATGTTTTTCAGGGAAAAAATAACAGAGAAATCCTGTTATAAGAAATTCAAAGTTTGGTCTCATAATTTACATATCATGAGTTTCTTATATTAAAACAAAACAACTTAAAAGGTGATGTTTGAATATCTTGTTCAAATGATAAAATCTGCTCTTTTCTATATACTATAGATAAATTATTTTCTTTTTTGGGGGGGGATTTTTGCTATAGGGCATGTGGACTCTCCAGAGACAGAGAGACAGAGACAGAAAGCGAGAAATCACCCCCAAGAAGGGATGGCCATGCTGCTATTCCGTCTCCTCCATTCTCCTCTCAGGATCTTGGGCACACACGCACATGTGCTGGTTGTAATTTTAAGTCACTGGGTCTGGGACTTTAACTGCAGTAGACTGTGGGAGTCCAGTGACATAACCATTATGCCACTTGCTGGTCCCAGAGGTTTTTGCCTTAGGTGTGTGCACTTGCTGGAAAGAGACAGAGACAGTGAGACGGAATGTGAAATATCACCTCCCTGGTAGGGCATGGCCATGCTGCAATCTCTTCTCCTGGGATCTTGGACATGCACTGGCACATGCCCTGTTTGAGTTTTAAGCCATTTAAGCTAATGTCATCCTTATTATTTCCTCAGTGGAAAATATAAAAGCTCCATTTTTTTTCCTTTACATAATGGCTGGTGTGGCATCTTGGTAATATACTGCTCTAAAAAAGGCTAGATCCACATGAAAGATCACAGGTTTAGCTCTCCAGCTGACTACATGCAAGGTGCATGCATCCATCTTGGAAGGCTGAGGTGAAAGGATTGTGATATGGAATTCTGTTGAAGGTGTTTGTCTTTCTCTCTGTTTCTTGCTCTCATGAAACAAGTAAGTTAATTTTAAAAATAAGTAAGTAAAGGTTGATAATCAGATGATCAAATTCATCAACTGGCCATTGAGACAGTCGAATCAGTTTTTAAGTAACAGATACATATACATCAGTAAAAACAGATGTAATCCATGTCCACTAGCAGGTTAAAAGAATCAGGCAGGGACCAGCAATTAGTGTAATGGCTATGTCGCTGGACTCCCATGTAGTCGACTGCGGTTCAAGTCCCGGACCTGGTGGCTTAAAACTGACGCCAGGAGCGTGTGCGTGCGTGCCCAAGATTCCGAGAGGAGAATGGAGGAGAAGGGATTGCGGCGTGGCCATCCCCCCCCTGGGGGGGGGTGTGATTTCTCATTTTCTGTCTCTCTGTCTCTCTCTGTCTGGCAAGCGCATGCGTCCTATAGCAAAAACCTCTCCCTCCCAAAAAAATCAGACAGACCAGACTCAAGTACATCTTTTCAAATAATCTCACAATATTCAACACTCAACATTTCTACATTTAATTTTGTGAATAAACTTGTGTAGAAGGGCAATAGCCATGTGTGGCAATAACTTGACCATCATCAAAAAACAGGTCTAAAACAATTAAATGACGAACAAATAGTTTTTTCTAGGTAGGAATACCTTAGGACTATGTGTGCATGTGTGTGTGTGTAGGTGCGCATATGCAATAGAATAGTTGAACCACTTCTTCCAGTTGAAAACCCCCAAAACTGGAATAGCTTACAAATACAGTTATTCTAACAATATGGAGGTAAGACGTCATAACTGTTATGACACCTTGACCATATACTGTAAAATGTAGTGGGAAAGAGGGATTATGGTTAATATAAGTAAACTCAAGTTCCTGGTCCCACAATGCAAAGATCTAATTTATTCTGGAGAGTGTAAAATGAAGCATCCCTTTCATACTCTAATTATTTAGAGAATTTACTCATTTGTTCTTCCAAAATGTATAACCTCAAGCTATCTTAGGTACACATGGATAGAGTAATTACAATATATATTAAAAGGTTGCTAAGAAAATTAAATGACTGTAAACTATATAGTGAAGTAAGTTGTTATTATCTGCTACTAAATAATGAGTTGTGTTTCCATTTTTTAATATTCAGAGATATCACACGTAATTTCTTTGAAAAGGAACTTTCAACACTATTTACAAATTTAAGAACCTTTTTCATGTGACTGGTTATAGGTGTGGAGAAATATTTCTATGTAAAAAATCTGTTATAGGGGCCAGCAAGTAGCGTGGTGGGTGAGGGGCTGGACTCCCACATGGCTGAGCATGATTTGAATCCCAGACCTGGTGGATTGCTTTCTCACTCTCCCTGCTCTTCTTTCAGCATGTCTCTCTCCAGTCAGAATAAAATAATAATAAAATAAATTTTAAAAATCTATTATAAAAATATCTGTAATAAGTAACTCTAGATCATTTCACTTTATTCATAACAGAGAGTGTGTATATATGAGAGAGAGAAAGAAAGGGGGAGAAGCACCCTTGACCAAATCTGGGCACGCCACAATTCCCCTCTTCCAGCCATCAATTCACCAGGATCTTGGACATTTGTGTGTGTAGACCTGGTGTTTTAGGTTGACTGGGTGGAGGATCTGAACCCAGTTGGCCATGTGGTTTCCAGGACTGTAGTCTCCAGTATGCTATGAACTGTGCCACTAAGCTGGGCTGTGGGTCATTTAGAATCATGTCTAATCATTCAATATGCAGGAAAATGATTCTGATTCAAGATATGGTAAAATACTATTTTATAGCTATAAATTTATCATTTAGTAGTTTAGAAAATAAAATTACTAGGCCTACATGAAGAATTCACTATAATAATAATAAAACAGTATTTTGTAAATTATTATAATAATAAAACTAATTTCTTTCAAAGACATTCAGTGAATGTAGTATAAAAATATATTTAAATAGCAAACACAATAAAAAAAAATTTCTTTGGTTTTATTATTGCTTTTCCTCCCCTAAATACCAGAGGGTGTGTGCATGTAAGAAAAAGAGAAATCAGTGGAGCCTGATCACACTATAATCCCTCTCCTCCATTCCTCCTTCCCATTAGGATCCAGTGTGCTTCATGCTGCTGAGGCCAGAATTTTAACCATGGTCAGTCACATGAGATCTAGCCCCCTCCATACAAGCATTTGATCACTATGCTATGGTGTTGGCCCTTACTACTGCTTCTTAAAAGTGATTAACATTTGGGACCAGCAGTTACCGTAATGGCTATGTCGCTGGACTCCCACATGGTCCACTGCAGTTTGAGTCCCGGACCCAGTGGTTTAAACTCACGCCGGGCGTGTGTGCGTGAGTGCCCAAGATCCTGAGGGGAGAATGGAGGAGAAGGGATTGCAGCATGGCCATCCCCCCGGGGGGGGGGGTGATTTCTTACTTTCTGTCTCTCTGTCTCTCTCTGTCTGTCTGGCGAGTGCACATGCCCTGTAGCAAAAACCTCTCCAAAAAAAAAAAGTTTGTAAAAAATAGAATTAAAAAAAAAAAGTGACTAACATTTAAAGGATGCTATTGTAATGAATGGTATTCATTCAGCATTTATAAGATCATTAACCAGTGAACCAAGGTGTAATGTAAAGAATTTGCTAACTATTAATCAATCCTGAAATATTAACCCTTTGATATTACAAAAGGTCAGAAGAAACAAGAATTCTTATAAATGGTATACATGTGAGGGGAGACTTATAGAATAACTTCAGCATGGTAATTCAACTGTTTTATTTGGTATACATTTAATTATCATGCCAAGTCACTGACAGTACTCATACTCTGATTAACAGTGCTTATAAAAACCACCTCTAATTGATCTATAACATATGAAGATGAAAATAGAATAAGTATATTTTATAATTTTAAATCTAAAACTACTAAGATATTTACACTACTGAAGAAGTGTCTGTTTCTTCCTCAATAAAAAAAGAGTACTTTTTGATTTCAAGTAGATAGAATAAGTGAATCTACATTAACCAAAAAAGAGCTATTTTCCTCATTCAACTGATGTAATTTCATTATGTTTACTTTTGAACTAATTTTTATTATAGAGAGAATTTATACATATAGGGTTTTTTTTTCTATAACCATTCAGATCATTCTGACACATATAAACATATGGTAATACCTTCAATAGTTAATAAAAGGATGGAAAGTTTTGAAATCATTTGTGTCCACAGAAACTAAAAAAAAAAAATGTATCCCATTTAAGGAACTTATACCCCAAAGCTACACTGGCTACTATACTCTGGGCCACAGAAGTAGGACTAGCTTAATTGTAAGTCTCTATTGATGATCTTTGCCTTTACAATTACTGCTGTGATGTTTGCCAAACAGTGACTTTACATTTCCATCATTTCTTTCTACATTTACTAATTGGAATTCTAAGAAAGCATTTTCTCTTTATTCTATGGGTAGTATAATGAATTACTTAAATTGTCCTAGATTTTGCCACTGAGAATTTCAAGTTTCTTACACATCTTTTCAATATGCCATCATGTTTTTTAGCATTATTTATTTTCTGGCACCAGAAAATGTTCCAGCTTTTCTAGTATTTTGTGTGCTCCAAGCTCTGGAATTAGGTTTTTCTTTTACTGAGCAACATTACCTAGAAATCAAGATCTGAGCTTACGGTGCACTCCTTACTACTGGGGTGTAACTGCTTGTAGGACATGGACCAAGACTGAGAAATATTGGGCCATCGGAAAAGTCATGACATTTTTTCCTATGCAAAACTGCGTCATGACTTTTCCAAAGACCCAATATATGCATCCTTGCACAGACTAACAAATATCATTACCTACATCTATTTATCTGTCTGTATATTAAAAACCATGACTACAAACTAATAACTTGAGTTTCTATACAGTATCATAGTTTTAATGCTAGCCTTTTTTTCCCTGACTTTTGTAACTACTTTCAACTGATAGTGAGAATCCTAGTGCTCGTTATCAACAATACATTTATTAATATCTATTTGTACAATCAGAATCTTTATTAGCCTCAGCCACTTATGTTAATTTAATTCCTCTTGCCAGATATGGTCTGGAAATGACCACACAATTATTGTCAACAAGTTCAAGGAAATCTGCTAGGGAATGTTTCAGGCAAACTTTTTTTTAAAGAATTATTTAATTCCATTTGTTGTTGTTGTTATTATTATGTTAATTTGACCAGACAGAGAGAGAGAGAGAGAGAAAGGGAAAGCGAGAAAGCAAGCCATCAGGTCCAGGACTCAAACCATGGTTGGTCATGTGGGAATCCAGAGGCTTTATCCACCACCCCACCTGCCATCCCCTAGACAAACTTTTATAAGTAGTTAAAACAGATAAAAGAATGTTCTGCAACTAATGATTAGAACGATAATGGCTGTCTTGCCATACTGAATCAAATCTAAGAGGGCAAGACAAACAGAAGACTTGTCTTTACTGATTTTGAGTCACTGATTAACCAGTCGTAAAATATCCTTTCTTTGGGCATTCTATGTGAAAAAACACATTTTCCTTACTGTAAAAGGCTTATTTACTTTTATACACAAAGAAAATCTCTCTCAGTTGTGGAACTAAACATGGCTCTACCACGGAAACAGAGATGGTTTATGCTATGGATAAGGAGGTTTAAGATTACATCTTTAAGGTAGGAACAAGTATTCTTTCAACATTGCAAAGCATTTAGAAATGTTAATAATTCAAAAGAACCACAAAATTATTATTTAAAAAAAAAACATTTTATAAACTGATCATTTTAGCCAGATGGTGGAACAGTGGTAAAATGCAATACTCTGCATGACTGAACCACATGAGAAAGTTCCAGGTTCACATATGGAGACCTCCGGAGTATACCTGGCAAGTACACAGGTGCCCATGATCCAGGACTGGCTGAAGGTGGAGGTAGACTGCAGTGTCAAGACCTGATGGGCATGCTGTCTGTCTCTATCTCTGTCTCTTTCTGACTCATGAAAGAAATAAATGAGTTAAAAACCCAAAACTTAATGATTTTATATTTCTGAATTAAATCTACTTCCAAACATGACTTTAGAGGTATGAAGACAAATTTCCCAATTTTCATATTAAGACAGAGAAACAACTGAGTGTATTCTGATAGATGGGTAACTAACTCTAGCTCTCAGTTTTAACTTGAAAACTTCAGGAACATGAGGTATTCCACAGGTATATATTACAAAGCAAGTATATTATTTGTCACAGTAATACTGATTTTCACTACAGTACTGATACTCTGCTATGCTACCTGATTTAGATTTCTAAATGTGGAAAATTTGAACAAACAATAATTGAGGATCCTCTGGTAATTTCAAACGATCCAAAAGAGCACTCTGAAAAAACATTTAGTTTCCATTTTTTATGAGTTTAGAAATCCCAGAATTATTCGGCTCTCCTCTTGTAGCATTTTGAATTCCAAGTATTAATCAGATCTGAGAAAAAAATTGCCATTGACAAATCAAAATGAGTTTACAGATTAGTTCTCATCTTAAATACTTTATGGAACAAGATACATAAACATACAGAAATTGTCTGTAAATGTACATATATATACATATCCAAATATTAACCAAGGTTACACTTAAATTACAAAAATATTTTTCTTATCTTAGAATTTTGAAAGAAAAAATGCTATAACTATTCAAGGTCCACACCGAGTAAAGCTAATTTCTTTATAAATAAAACATTGAGCTCAAATAGGACATTAAAATCATTACTTTATAAATAAGACATCAACGTTACATACAGATACTTACAAAATTCGTTCCTTTTTCAGTTTGGTTACTTTTGCTTGTAAACCTGAAGAGTAAAAAAGAAAAAAGCCCACGGTATTTTATTTAAGTATTTCACCATTTCTAAAGCAGATATCTAAGTTCCTTTATGAGACAAATTCTTGCCTTTGGTAATTCATGAATTCTAGTAAGATTATATTTAGAAAATCTTTCTATATAAATTTGTACAGAAACAATATATCACTTCTAGGAAAAAGATTTTTCATTGTCTGCTTCATTCAGTATGCTACACTAGCAAGTCACTTCAATGTAGTCTCTGAATATTGAACCTGGTCCCACTTGTGTGTAAAGAGGATATTCTACTTGTTTGTACAGTGAGGTAACAAAAGTATATCCACAACGTTACTACTTTATTATATAACAGTCAAGTAGAATAAAAATTTCCCCACCTAAAGTGACTTATTTCTTTTCTAATAACAGGCACAAGCATATAATTAGAAGTTCACAATAAATGAAAGTCTATGTTCTGACATAGCCTACATATTTGCTAATAGCAACAATTCTATGTAGGCTCAAATTTTATGGGATTAAACTAGATTGTGGCAGGAAGTCCTGGGCTAAGAGCAAAACTGCTTACAGAAAAGTACTTAAAGACAACTAGTGGTTTTTATCTCAATATCTACTATATATACATTTTTTAAGAGGTTTTTTTAAAGAGGTGCATGCGCTTGCCTGAGAGAGGGGGAGAGAGAGGAAGAGGAAGAGAGAGAGAGAGAAAGAGAAAGACAGAGGGAAAGTGAGAAATCACCCCCCAGGGTGGATGGCCACGCTGCAATCCCTTCTTCTTCATTCTCCTCCAGGATCTTGCACAGGCACGCACATGCACCCGGTGTGAGTTTTAATTACATAGGTCAATTCGATTACCTATAATTTGAGTAAATAAAAAGTTAGGGGTCTGCTATGCCATGGCACACATTACTAAAACACTGTGCTCTGCAGGTTGAGACCATTTGGAAGACTCAGATTTAATTCTCAGTTTTGCTTAAAGACTGAACACAGTGGCTGCACCTGTAATCTCAGCAACCTGGGAAGGCTAAGGCACAATTAGGAATTCAGCGCTAGTCTGGGCAACATGGTGCGACTTGTCTAAAAGGGCTCGGAGTGGCAGCACACTCAACTGTAGTCCCACCTGGGAGGCTGAGTTAGGAAGGCTATGACACATGAGACTATGCCTTATTGATTTATTTTTTAAGAATCATGTTATGTAACTTTATTGATTTATTTTAAGAATTATGTTATTTAACTTTATTTTAATTTGACTACAGAGTGACAAAGAGAGAGAGAGAGAGAGAGAGAGAGAGAGAGAGAGAGAAAGCAAGCTACCAGGTCTGGGAATTAAACTGCGGTCAGTCCAGTGCCCTTAACCACCACGCTACCTGATAGCCCCAAGAGACTGTCTTTTTAAAATTTTATGAATCAGATAGTTAAAAACTGTTACAGATAAAAACTTGCTCTCGATTGTTTATATATGCTTTATTCATAATAGATAAACATTAGAAACAACCCAAATGTCCTGCAACTTGTGAATTGTTCTTTGGGAAACAAAAACTAAAAAACGTGGTGCATTTAGTCACCACGTACACTACTGAAAAACTATTACTAAATGCAATAATTTGGATAGATCTCAAGGACATTATGTTGAATAAAAACCAGCAAATCTCAAAGGTTACATTCTGTAGGATACCACTTACATAACATTCTTGAAATTACACAGTTATAGAAGACAGATGATGTGTGGGAAGAGGTTGGAGAGATGGAGCAAAAGGAAAGTAGTGGGGATTTAAGAGTGGCCTGAAGAAACTTTGGCAGCAGTCACAGGAATCTATACATCTGCTTAAAATGCATAGAACTGGGGCCAGCAGGTTGTGTGGTGGGTAAGGCACTGGACTCCCACATGGCCAACCATGGTCTGAGTCTTGGACCCAGAGGCTTGAGACTCATGCTGGGCATGTGTGTGTGTGTGTCCACAATCCCAAGAGGAGAATGGAGGAGAAGGGACTGTGGCATGGCCATCCTCCTTGGGGGAGTAATTTCTTTTTCTGTTTTTCTGGTGAGTACATGTGCCCTATAGCAAAAATCTCTTAAAAAAATGCAGAGAACTAAATACACACACATAAATAAGTGTTATGCTATATACACACGTAAGTGAAGGCATATAAAAGTGGTGGGATCTGAATAAAACTGGTAGACTGTAACAATATGACTTTCTTGGTTATGCAACATACTACTACTATAGTTATACAAGATAATACCACTGGGGAAAATTGGGAGAAGAGTACATTGGCTCTTTTTGTACTGTTTCTTACACCTACATTTCAATCTATGATTACTGTGAAATGTAAAGCTAAAATATTTATGCTGAATAACTATTTGCCCTAAGAGATTTGGTAAACTGTTAAAATATAAAGCATAACAATAAAGGGAAAACTTATCCTTTAAAAATGTTGAAGAGTTAAAAACTGGTATGATTTTCTGATTTTTTTAAAAACCTTTTTTATCTGTTAAGTTCTTAGCCTGAGAACCTTCTTGCTCCTTCAGGTAATGAAAACAAATATAGAATAATTTGAAAGTACTCAATAACACATCAAATTATTCCCAAAGAGTTAAGAAAAGAACTTGGGATTCTAACTAGGTCAAACAATACAGTCAGCAATTTTTCTCTCTTCTTTCCTTCTCAATGTTTGGAAATTTACTGGTTGGCAGATTTTCTTGTTTTTAATTTTTATAAACTTCTGAAACTCAGGTATGCTTTTAGAAGTAAAAAGTGCTGGGGCCAGCGGGTGGCATGGTGCATAAGGCACTGGATTCCCACATAGCCAACTACAATTTGAGCCTCAGACCCAGTGACTTAAAAAATCATGCAAGGTGTGTGTGCGTGAGTGTCCCAAATCCTGCAAGAATGGAGGAGAGAAACTGTAGCAAGGCCATCATCCCTTGGGGGAGGTATCTCACTTTCCCCCTCTCCCTCTCTCTGTCTCTCTCTGTCTTTTTCCAGTGAATGCACACAACCTATGGCAAAAAATCTTTAAAAAACAAACAAACAAACAAAAAACCCTGTAAAGTACAGCCAAAAATGAAATGGATTCTTGCCACAAACCATTTTAAGAAAAGAAACAATGACACAGAAAATCCATATAAACTTCAAAAGAAAATTCTTGGGAAATACGGAAAGACTACTCTTTTATCTTGTATGCATCCAACATCATTGAGACATTTGTTCTGTCACGCAGATCAGTCCCAAAACAGGTTTGTGTGTGTTTAAATTTTAGCATTTGCTATTCATCATGTCAATTAGGCATCTGCAATTAGAACCCTTATAAAGTACGCTTTAATCCTGCTCCACACCCATCGGAAGGAATGAGGCTATACAACAATGCAGCTCCTGTATGAACAGGTAGTCTGTTCAACAAAGTATTTGGGATTGTTAACACTGGCAACCTGAGACACCTATTGAGGAAACAGTGCTCAAAAGACCAAGCATTGTACTATGATTAACCTTACATTCATTCATACATTCATTTTGGAGGAAACAAAACAATCTAGGGTCTTTATGTACAAACAGAGCACACGACAAATTTAAAAGTTCACAAATGAAGCAAAAATTCAATTTGTTACACATAAAATTAGCTAGCCTAATTCTTATTTTAGTTCTCTATTCAGAACAAACTATAACATATATACTATCATAACTTTAAAACAAGTTACTTACAATTCTGAATTATAAATAAGCCTAATAGTACCTTTCCTGAAAAACAGAGGCTTTATATATAGATCAGGCAATTTGCAACTGCCTAATAAATAATTTCAATTCCAAAGTGAAAACTTTTATGAGATGCAATCCTATCAAAGGTACACTTACTTTGTTTAAAATGTAATAATCTCTGGGAACCAGCAGTTAGCGTAATGGCTATGTCACTGGACTCCCACGTAGTCAACCGCGGTTCGTGTCCCGGACCCGGTGGCTTAAAACTCACATCGGGCGCGTGTTCGTGCGTGCCCAAGATCCCGAGAGGAGAATGGAGGAGGAGGGATTGCGGCGTGACCATCCCCCCTGGGGGGTGATTTCTCGCTTTCTGTCTCTATGTCTCTCTCTGTCTGTCTGGCGAGCACACGTGCCCTACAGTGAAAATCTCTCCAAAAAAACAAACAAACAAAAAAAAGTAATAATCTCAAAATGGGTAAATAAATTTTTGTGAGTTTTACCGATTTTTTTTAACTTTTTATTTATTCATTTGCTTATTTTTTAATTTGACAAGAGAGAGAGAGAGAGAGAGTGAGAGAGAGTAAGGGAGAAGGCAAGCCACCAGGTCCAGGACTTGAACTGTGGTTGCCCATGTGGTAGTATCCAGCACCCCAACCACCACGCCACCTGCTGATTCCATTCTGAATTGTTTTTTTTTTTTGAGAGATTTTTTGCTATAAGGCACGCACACTCGCTAGAGAGACAGAAATTGAGAAATCCCCTCCAAGAGGGGATGGCCATGCAGCAATCCCTTCTCTTGGGATTTTGGGCACATACACGTGCCCGGCATGAGTTTCAAGCCACCATGTCCGAGACTCAAACCACAGTTGGCCACATGGCCATCTGCTGACCCCATGTTTTACTGAATTTATAGATATGAATGAAAATAAAAAATAATGAATGTTGAGTTTCTGATAACATTTTTTTTTCTCATAGCATTCTTAGTAATGAGTAGAAAATTGACATTATATATCAAAACTACATGCAATTCTTTTCATTGTTAATTTGTGTGGTCTTAACGTTTTTTTGGAATTTCTGATGAGACATTTGAGAAAATAAATAAAGCAATCCAAAACTAAATATAAAAATATTTAATCTGTTACAAAACTTTTCTATTTCTTCAAAAAGTTCCCAGTTTTACCCTCAAAATCGGCCAAGTTTCTTATGAAACTAATTACCATATTAACCTGATACAGAAAATATATTATCTGAGATGTTGACAGTACAACCTGTCATGGACAAAAGACTATTAAAATTGTCATGTT